TGTCTAGAGCATTCAACAATCGACTGTGCGATACATTAGGTTTCATCGAATCGGCTCGCGCCTCATTCTTGACGAGATTGCAAATTTTCAACTCAAAGATTTTGGTAGTGTAATCCAAAGAGAAACGAACCAAAAAATGTCAACTTCATTTTTTATTTAGTTTCGGGGCTACTTCTCTTATTAATACATATCCATGCTGAAACTACCAGATCGCGTACCTCGCTTTGCGATGTTGTACACATCCTGTGTCATAATTCATTTTCACGATGGAAAACTTCTCAACGTCAATTATTGACTACGACTACCTCCGTGATTTTTCCTCTCTGCATGTGCACAGCAAATTCTATGAAAACCTCAAGGAATGATATTGATTTGCTCGAAATTGATTGATTAAAATGGGAGCGGAGGTTTTTACATGGTCTGGGAGCGTTTCACCTTCCATATGTCGGTTATTTTGCTATTAACTGTGCAGTCATGGTAAAAGAAAGTTAATTACCTACATTATTCTCCGTCATAAATTTTAGAAACTCAAGTTGTAAAGTGAGGTAAAAACTACCATACAATCATCAGAACATATAGGTACACATTTTTATAGAGCAGCCCGAGACAATGATAACAAAAGAAAAACAAAGGGGAAAAACGGGTAACAAGGCTAAAATACACAATAAAAAAAAACCGAGACGTTTCGACTCAAAACTAAATAATTTTCAGTCGGAAATGTTACAATAAAAATTTAAAGAAACGATGAAAAACCCGAGTCTTACATGGTGGTGGTCGGGATCTGAGGGGGAAAAAAATGAGCTTCAGAACTTGACGATCAAAGTTTTCTGAATAGACTCCGAGTGAATCAACAAACTCCTCGAGAATATCTGAAACCCAATTGTTAAGGAGAACCGCACAAAAATTATATGATATGACTTGCCAGGGAAATGAGCGTCTACCTCCACATAATTATACGGAATAATGAAAGCGAGTGGCGGGTAGCTGGTGTTTCGCCGTGATTGAACTTATTGATTTGATGATTGATGAACAGCAAAAACACAACTTTCAGGCTCAAAGTTTAAGCTAAGCGTACGGTAAGGCACGATGAATGGGGGTAGATGAATACGTGACTTAGGGAGTACTTTTTAAATGGAGCGTGGGAATCATGCTCTTTTGTCCATTCGTGGTAGAGATCTTTAGAAAAAGAATGTTTTAAGCACTCGCAAAGGAAAGGGCGCTCAAGCGCCATTTGTATTCGATCCAATGAAATCGGGTCAGTACTCGTTTCATGATTTTTCTCTTACTACTCAACCAAATGTATTCCTTTTTCACGGAGGATATTTTTGAACAACACCTTGATGCTTTAAAAAAGAAAACCTCCATCTCGATTTCATGGAAAAAAATGATATTGCTGATTTAATAATTTTTTAGTTAACAAAATGTTCGACATGTTTCAATATACCTAGATTTCACAATAAAAAAGGCTACTTTAACCACGGAGGCGGTTAATTAGCTTTCCACTATACTGTAAAATGTACATTTGAATCATGTCGAACATATTTTTTTAACAATTTAATTGTTAAATCAGCAATCCATTTTTTTCCGTGTTTAAGGGCGTTCCAGTTTTTTCAATGGCTAGAATGCAACTATTCGTGTTCTAAGATGTCCGTGCAAAATATTGCAGGCACTGTAGTGTTTTTGAGAACAACGTACGACTTCGGTTTTTAGTTCTTCTCCAGCTTTTGTACGTTGCATTTACAATCGCATTTACCATGAAATCGTGAGAGTTCGAGTGAGCCGGGTACAGCGTTGTCGAATGGTGTATATTTTCCACAAAAAAAATCCACAGAGGTATCAGGGTATCAGGTCAAATTACGACGAATTGAATTTCTGCATTTTGCCCTTCGCACTAAGAAGTGTTGTGATTAGGATTTATTTTCTTATACTATATGTCAAAAAAACCCTGAAAATCCGAAGGAAAAATAGAGAATTCTTACGTTCCAATCATCTGAAAAGTTAGGAGATTTTTAAATCCAAGAAAATTTAATTGACATCCTGCAAACAGTGATGATTATAATAGAAGATCGTGATTCAGCTCGTTTTTTCTTTTTTAACAGTCCCGTAAATTGCACTATTTGGCAACGCTGCCATAACGGAAGATAGTAAATATTTATGTGGGTTTGGTTATTTCATAGGTACTTTAAAAAAAATTAAAGGACAAGCAGATTATGGAGAGGATTGAGTGGCTAATTGTCAATAAAGTCAGGCGAGAGATAGCCGCATAAATAATCTCCATTTATGTATTTGATTCTTTTTCTATTTTTTAGTTTGATTAAATACTCAAACCGCCCTGTCTTCGAGCAATAACAACACATGCCTGAAATGAGTGGCATATTTCGTTATCCCAAGTGTAGAATATTAAAGACGCTCCGTCGTCAGTTTCAACCACTAGGTTTGGAGGAGGCAACTATTCGTGTTCTCGGGATGTCCGTGTTGCATACACAAAAATTGCAGGCGCTTTGGTTTTCTTTGACCCAACGCACGGCTCTAGTTGCATAGGATAATTTTAACAGATTCCTAAGTAAATTAAATGATAAGACTCAGGAGAGGGTAGAGTCTGTAATATTTTCTAAAAAAATTTCAATAAATCGGAGATTTTTAAACGTTCGCACCTGAGACGCATTTGCCACAATTATTTACTGAAACAATTAAATCTTGTTGAAATTATAGTGAATTAGTGGGCTGATTGTTGAAATGAATAGACAAAGCGACAGACAAAGAAGGTACAGGGAGTATGGAGCTATCCTATCGGTTGAAGTGGGTGATTCCTATAGACTGAGGGAGAAAATGATAGACTAACTGTGGGGTTTCAGGTGAGTTGCCGTTAGTTAGTACGTTGCCTACGAGAATGGAACGTAGCGACGGTAACCGCGATTAGTCTATTACCTGCCTCCTTTGTCCATTGGAACCAGCTTTGTCTATCAATTTCAAGAATTGGCTCGGAGCAGAGTCAAGTTACCTGCCAAACGCAATTCAAAAGCGGTGTAAAAGAAGCAAAGCCGTAAAACCGTAAAACCGCGGTATCTTCAGAAACGTCTTCATTATAAAACGAGCAAGGGTACGTTCTGCGAGGAGAATGCAAATAATTATCGTAAGTTATGCAGGAACTAAAAGAACGAATGCTAACGCACACCAGAGCAGTCTCAGGTTCGCGTGCTATTCTCAAGCATATCGCGTGTCTTGAAGCTTTTGCCAGCGCTCCCGTGCTAAGGAAAAACGCCGTATGAGCCTTCAGGCCTTGCCAAATTTTCTTCGATAAACCACAAATTCCCTAGCTGGTAAACTTATGTATATTTTTCATCCAATTTTTCAGAGAATATTCTTTGTACTTTTATCTAAAGTCCCTGAAAATTTCAAGGGAAAAAATTCTTAATTTTCCTCATAGATAAACATTTTATCAAAGGAAATTTGGTAACTCTCGAATGTTCCTACGGCGTTCTTTCTTAGCACGGCAGAGCGAGGCGTTGCGAATGTAAGGACGACAACGACGAAGAAAAGATAAAGTTGCTCGTGCAACGGCTGAAAGATTAACATGACCTGGTCGTGCGTCCAAGGAACCTGTCAGCTCAATGTGCCAATTTGAAATAAGACCCGTTACAATTGGACTTCATTTTGCAGTCCAGGGCTACTCTTTCTGGTTTATTTGGACGTATTTCTGTCAAATGGAACTATGCGCATTATGACGTGAGCCCTACAATGCATGTATTCTTATGGGTCTCAGGGGTCATGGCATAATGTACATAGTTCTTTGATAGAAATACGACCATTTTAGAAACAATGCATGTGTCAAATGTTCCCTTATGCAGATAGATGCGTTTAATGGACGAGTAAAAAATAACATATCCTCATTGGACAAAGAGATCCAATCGACGAGGGAGGTGTAACACAAATTCACGTCTTTGAAATGGGCCACAAGACAGGGTATAAGTTTAAAGGACAAGATTTTTCGGTTTTTAGCTACTCGTGATGTGAAAAAAAAATTGAGCTATTAGCCGATTTTACAAAATCTCACTGAGTCGCAATCATTGCATATATTTGTAGAATTGGCCAATAGCTCAACATTTGCTTTCAGTTTTAAAGGACCACACTATCATGTGGACGTATTTCTGTCAAACGGAACTATGTGCATTATGACGTGAGCCCTGTTATACATACATTTTTATGGATCTCAGGGCTCATGTTTTAATGCACATAGTTCCGTTTGGAAGAAATTCGTCCATGTTATGTTTCCTTTTCAAAATTCCATGAAAAAATTGAATTACAGAACGGAAAGTCTAAAAATCAATTTCTACGCAGGATACAGGGGTTCACAGTTGAAAATCGCCCAACGAAACAAATACGAATGCCGTCATTTGTTTCATCTGACTTTCAGTTGATCCGTGTTTAAAATACTTGTTAATATCTCATTCAGGAGTTAGGGTTTTGAACTTCCCATTGTGTGAATCGTATTCTGCGTAAAGTTTTTTTTAAAAAAAACACTGAAAATAAAGAGTCTTTTTGCCGCCAAGAAGTACTTTTTCTTAAATCAAGACTTTTGCTGCTTAATATAAACTTCTTATTCGCTTATCCAAGCATTTTTTTTTCGTGTATCAAGAAAAATTCAGCTTAAATCAAAAGATAAAAACAATTATCGGCGGCAAATTCAAGAATCACCATGCTTGAGCCAAGCACTTTTTTTTGTCAGTGAAGCATGCGACATTATCTTTTGGCTCAGACCTTGTCTCGTTGCCTATTGCGAAAGACAAATAAAAATTTCTAATGACACCGATGATTTTGTGATCCAAAATCATCTTAGAGAGCTTTCTATATGCTCGCGTGCGACTAGCTCGATTTTGAGTTTTTGTTAACTAAAACCTATTTCCTCATACACTAGCCCCCCCCCCCCCCCCNTACTGCAGTTTCATCAAAATACCTTAGTTCAGTTCGAGATAAACTTTGATTGAGATTTTGTTTTTCAGGCAAACCCAGGGATGTCTCGCCGCTTCAACTGCAACAATGGCTCGGAGTGCGCTTCGTTGACCGGGGTTTTCAACTGCTCCCTGGGACACTGCTCCAACATGTCGGAACTCTTTTTGTGTCATCACAAAGCGGACGGGATATTCGTGGACAGCGAAAAGGATAACCTCAAATTGAACGGATTTTTCGAGTGCCACCACTCGCGGTAAGTTTTGAAATCATAAATTTGAAAATTGGGCGTACTTCTGTCAAACAGAACTATGTGCATTATGACGTAAGCCCTCTTATTTATATATTCCAAAGGGTTCCAGGGCTCATGTCTTAATGCACATACAGTTCTGTTTCAAATCAGCTAGGAGTATACTTGGGATCGTGATACTTTTTTTCCATGTATGCTGACATTTCCCGATATTCTCCACCTGCTGCAATGTGGTTTCTGAGGCACACATGGAAAGAAATATTTATTTCCTGCTTTCATGCTTTGGCAGGTGTCGGCAGATCAAGAAACCCTTTTCGTGCGATCGTTACTGTATGAAGATCACTACGACGGCAGTGAACATTTACTTGTCGTACGGGGATCAACTCTACACGGGCGACTGTCGGAGGGCCCTGGCCTACAACGCCGCCAACGGGACGGAGCCTGGCTACCGGGTCAACGCAACCGAGATCTGGACCGAAGAGTCCAGCGGGGGTCTCCTCCTCTCGTCCTGCCATTCCGTCGTCAGGGACAACAACACTCTCAAGTGAGCAACCTCAAATTCCTAGCAGTTTTCACGAAAAGAACCTTCAATCGCGATCAAATCAACGTATTTCTGTCCAACAGAACTACATGCATGTGCAGGAGGGAAAGATGGGGTGTGCTCCTTAGTGCTCCGGCCACAAGACTCAATGGTACGGATGCACGAATATAAAATTAGAATGCGATTATTCGAATATTCGAAACTTTTCCATTGCCATTATTTGAGAAATCGAATCTTGCGATTTCGACTACTTTTAAGTGAATATTCGAATCTTTCCGATTAATGCTCCGATTTTTTATTTTTTTGGTGTAACGGTGCTCCGCAAATAACAGGGTGGTGGAACAAAGCTTGCACACGGCTCTATTTTTCGCACTTTTGGAAAAGTATTTCCACACGATGGACTTTTTTCGAACCATGTTGGTGGTAACTTGGACTCCAGGGCATGTAGGTCTATACTGAATGGTCTGCGGGTCTAAAGGGGAATTTTTAACCTCGTAATTTGGACCTGTAGAAGGGACAGTAGTAGAAAATCGGAGTTTTACCTTTGCGAATATTAATCGAATATTCGAATACTTTCACCAACATTCGATTGTGATGCGATTAACTCGGAGACGATAATTCGAATATCGAATATTTGATTTATTGAAATATTCGACCATGAATGGGAATTATAGGCGCGACAGAGACTAAACCGCCGTCGTCGAGCATTAACTCATGAGCCCTGTCCACAAGGCTCTAGATACATGCCCATGGCTCATACAATTTGTACATTAATCCGTTTGACAGAACGTAAAATCCTGCTTTTCAACTTCAGCAAACGAAACTGTGTGCAAACTGCATGCGGGACCTGTAAGCCATGGGCATGTGTCTAGATCCTTGTGGATAGGGCTCATGAGTAAATACTCGACGACAACGCTCGCCGTTGACGTCATTGGCGCATTTTAATTCCTATTCGGGTGGATTTCAGCTAATGGGAGAAAATATGGGAAAGACTTGTAACTGGTTGCTCAAAACTTTCAATTATTTTATTTATTTATTTATTTATTTATTTTATAATTTGTACGATTGAGCCTCTGGCTGAGGCTATGGCACACGTCATATTCGGTACATGGTGAACAGTTACAGCGATATACATAAGGTACAAGTGTTAAATTTTACTAGCCTACGAGTTCGTGAAGATAGAAATATAGAAGGCTTTTTCGAATAAGAAAGCACGCAGCCCCTTAAAGAACGACGTTAGATCAGCATTTCAAAAGTGTAGCTTCACACTCCAAGGAAGTGCGTTAAACATCTGTATTGCCGAAAATTGGACATCCTGCTCAGTCCGTCTCAATCGAATCATTTTATTAGGGATGTTCTTATGCCTACTGTTGTAATGATGATTGGGCAGGAGGTCAGAAGGCAAAATAAGAGCACTGGAGATGGGCAATCCCAGATGTACAGGGAGGTTAGGGTAAACAATTTATATTTAACAAAGATCGGGCGGCAGTGTGAGTCATGAGGAAGATTGAAAATGGTTCTGATAATTTTTTTCTGCATGACAAACACTTGATCAACACTAGAGCCTCGCCCCCACAGAAGAAGCCCATATCGCATATGAGACACTATGTGAGCGTGATAGAAAGCGAGACAGCAGCTCAAGGTGGAAATTCTGGAAAGGTTGCGAATGGCCCAAGAGGCCCTTGATAGTTTTGACACAACCATGTCGGTCTGTCGTTGCCACCTTAGACCTACATCAATATGAATGCCAAGAAATTCCATGGAACTTTCCAATTTTACGCTTAAATTATCATCTAACATACAAATGGGTTCTGGCAATGAAGAGGTAGTTCTAGGGGATACAGGATAAAGAATTGCTTGAGTTTTCTTTTGATTGACAAGGAGGCCATTTGCCTCAAACCACATACAGGCCTGCTCATAGGTCAGGTTGGTGACGCTGTTTTCCATCAAAACTTTTGGTGGAATATTGTACTGCAGATATGGGGAGCTCTAGGAATTTTAAACGAGATGTTAGTTTTTGAGATACCGAAAGTTTAGGAAAATAAAAAAAAAATCCATGCCACAATGCAAGGAATATGTGAGCAAATATTTTTTTTGGGCGCTTCTGGGTACCAGATGCGCCCTTTCCAGCCGTTCGACTCCCCCGATGTAACATGTACTATACTACATACCATTTTGCCTTATGGGTAATGACGCCATTCTGGTACACCCGGGAAAATTTGATTTTTTTCTGCATCTGGTATTCGTAAAAGTTTTCGTGAAATGTTTTGCTTTTAAGCATAACAATCTCGCACGGACGTATTACCTGGTTAAACTATTTTGGGGCTTCGTAATGCTTAAATGCCTCATATTCGAGGTTGTAGTTTCAGATTGATTCGAAAAAATCACGAACAGTCACGTGATCTCTTCATTTTAGTGACGTATTACTGTGCTATTTTGTGATTGGTTCATTTTCTCGGCGCAGCATCGTCAAGCGTCAGCTGTTTGCGGCTCTGGGTTGAAGGTTTAAGGTTATGTCAGAGAGAATAGAATGTTAGAGGCCCGACTCGATGCTAGGTAATTGAAACAGATGCGCTCGCAGCGCGCTCGCTGGCAACGTACGCAACTACTATTTTCTATTGTTTTCCAGAGACTAGCGGCGGGTATGTTGCCGCCGGACCACCTTCACGTAGGCAATTTGTTATACATCGTCCGTCCGCAATACTCTCGCTTGGCCGTATGAAAACGTTCCTCGCATGCGCAGTTTTAAAGAAGCGCCCACCAACGCTTTGGCGTTGGAACTGCTTGTCTTACATCTACAGGTGGCCTCTCGACCTAACCTCAATGATTAGTTTGATTTTGCTACTGTAAATTGGCAGAAAAAATTAATAACAGCCAAATGTCAGTTTGGTGACGTCACCAAACCTGACATGCCCATTGCCCAAACCATACTGACATGTTAAGCTTGGTAAAGAAAAATAATCGAAAGATATTGCGATGCACGTAATTAAATCCTAAAGTATGGAGCTCTAAGATAACAGAAAAGTAGTTTATAGTTTGATATGGCCAAATCACTTTTTAACTTTTTTTCAGAACCATTTTCTCCCATTAGCTGAAATCTACCCATTCATTCCCCACGGCCCGAACAATAACGAGTACACCCCATCTTTCCCACCTCCACATAGTTCTGTTTGACAGAAATACGTTCGGATAAGTTGTCAAGTCAGGCAATACAGGCCCTCAACGTGAATTTACAACAAGGAAGTGTAACCGTCACTATATTTTGTCAGATTCTTAGATGGTGATTCATTGGCAACCTGTTGACAATTTCAACGAATGCTCAAGGGAAATCTCTTATTTTGAATGTCTCTTGACAAAGTGTCCACCATCAACCCTTCCATCATTATAGCATCTGCTTCAAAATGTAGAACGCACAGTTTCTCCTCGATCAAAAAATGTATTTATAGAAAATAAAAATGAAAGGGTTGGTTTTGTCAAGGAACCTCTGGGTACGTGCTAAAGGACGTGGTTATCATTTGAAAAGTCGAAAAAGTCTGGGAGCAGAATTCATATGAGAAAATTTCAACTCTCTACTTCTCAATTGAAAATACTTGAAAACCAGAAACACTTCATGCTGCACATTGCACACATTGCATTGCAAATCGAAGGAGAGAAAGCTAAGGCACGAACTAGGGCTTTTCGTTCCATATTTGTACGTACTTCTATCAAACGGAAATATGAGCATTAAGACATGAACCCTGAGACCTATAAGAATATGTTCATTACAGGGCTCATGTCATAATGCACATAGTTCCGTTTGATAGAAATACGTCCATTTTTGCTTCAAAATTGTACATAGAAGATAATTAAAAGATTTGAAAGTTCATTTTTGGATCTTCAAAGTCATGTAATTTTAATTACCTTGCAAAAGTTCCCTTTTCACACTCGAGGCAACAAAACTCAGGCTTATATACTGCCGTGCTGAGGAAGAACACCGTATGAGCCTTCAGACGTTGCCAAGTTTCCTCCGATAAAAACCGATTTTACTGGGAAAATTCTGATAATTATTTTCCAAAATGTTCAGACAAGTTTGTACGCAATTTAATCTATAACATCTGAAAATTTCAAGGAAAAATATGCATGAATGTTGTCAAAAATATATGTTTTATCGAGGAAAATTTGGCAACTCTTGAATGTTCATGCGGCGTTCTTGCTTAGCACGGCAGTATAGTGGAACTTGTTGCAGGGGTTACGACTGCCTCAACGGGACGATCCTACAGGAACAAGCTGTTCCGCAACCGTTTATCAACTTCACAACTTTCTGGGCCCTGAGCGACAACTCGACCAAGTTGGTGGACCGGACGCAGAGATTCCTACCCATGCAACGACAACTGACCATCTTCAACAGCTCGAAACTTTTCATCAACTTGGACGGCTGCGTCAACACTCTGAGAGGAGAGTGCCTCGAATTCTACTCCACTCACGGAAGGGATGGTGATAACCAGACCGCCCAGAGTAGATACACGTGCTTCTACAATAAGGTGAGTGCTCATCCAAATGGACGTATTTATGCTAAAAGGAACTATGTTCATTATGACGTGAGTCCTGTTATGCGTATATTCTTATGTGTCTTAGGGCTCATGTCTTAATGCACATTGTTCCGTTTGACAGAAATAAGTCCAAATGCAAATCAAAAAATAAAGAAGGTCCTCTTCATGGGGAAAAGTTTCGGCGACCCTCCTGTTGAGGGCACTGTGGCAAATATTTCCCCTCTTTAAAAAAAAAGAAAAAAATAGAACAATAAACCGCCGTTGAAGAATTCGCGACTTTATTGCAAAATGTGGTGAGATTGCAATTCTCTATCAGAGAGTATTCACCGAAAAAAAAAAAAAAAAGTTGATTTAACATTCTGGGTGCGAGAACTTATGAAATGCCACCTAATTTTAACAGGTTGCAGAATTTTCGATAGAGAATTTGGTCGCTTTAACCCAAAGATTTGATCGGCTTCACACAGGAAAAACAAACACAACAAAATGAACCGACAGCTTGTGTTATTTCGAGTTTTACTTCATACATTAACGCAAAATTTTGCTTACTTTTTTTTAGTATGCAGAGTCTTCAAAGATGAACTCAAACTCATGTTACTCTTTCATTCAAAAAGAAGAGTACAAAATGGGTATAGAAATGAAAATTACGACGGTGTAAGTCCGCAACCACCTCGTTTGTGGTGTTCTCAAATCTCCGCTCCTATTTTATTTATTTAAAGGAGAACAAATCGACATAAAAGAGGTTTCCGCAGAATCTTCCTCGCACAAAAGAAAAATCCCGGGAGCTCTTAAGAATTTCCGTTGAGAAGTTTTCCATTTTAACAAATAAAGTATGATAGGAGGTCTGCGACACCGCAAAGCGAGATACGTGGTTGCGGACTTACACTGTCCGTTGACCACAGTGCGTAGTTGTGCTTTGTTTCATCTCACATTTAGGCCGGAAGCGGAATTATTTATTTTCCATCATATATTTGATGCGACTTTTATTGGAAATAATTTCCTCGCTAAGCGCTGACTTAATAAAACCGTTGGAAATCCAATATTTCTGCTCAGAATTGAGCTAGGCTACAAGACAATTCTGTGACCCGATCATGGAATAACAATATCTACCTCATTCTCTCTCTCACCCTCTCTATCTCTTGAAAAATATCTCATAAAATGGAGGGATGTATTACAACGGTAGAAGAGGTAAATAAAAGCTATCTGCCTCTGAGCAACTTATTTTTAATCCACAGCCTCCATCGAGGACCTAAGCTCCAGTGGCGAGGCGTGGATGCTCGATTATCGATATTTCCCCATATGAAGCTATGGTAAAGAATCGATTATTAAGATCTTCGTTGAGAACACCCTGTTTGTCGATCCTTATCCATAGGTTTGAATGGCAGATCAATCGATGTATCGCAAAGCTCGTCACGCCACTGCTAAATGCCTTATTGCTGGAGGCATCAGCTGAAGTTGAATGAGGAGTAATTTTTTCTCGTGAAGGAACATCTCGGCTTCATATTATTTTTCTCAGAATTCTACCAGAAATGAGAAAAAATAGATGGGCTCTTTTTTTCTTATCAATCATGATACCAATGTTAAGGTAGAGTGTCAGTGGAAATAAAATTGCCTAAGGCAAACCTTAGATTGCCGATGTCACAAAAGGCACATCCTTTTTCACACCCACGTCATAGAAGACTATCGTTTCCTTTTACAGCATTAATAGAAGTTACGTTATTTTATGGAGTTAATGGGACACGAATTGAAGTAAAAATTAAAGTGCTACAAGAAATATACCCTCGTTAGAATTTTATGGGGGAACACATTTGAATAAGTGAAAATTCTTCATTTTAACTCGCTAGTGAGTAATTAGCAATTATTTTTCGCACTTGGTAAACCTCAAGCTGATGATACACTAAAATCAACTGAATGCAGATGTCTTAAAAAAAAACTCATCTCCAGGCGATTAACCAAAAGGTCTCACATATATCAATAGTAACGGGGGCGTTTCCAATAATAACAATAATAGTAAATCTGCGTGTACACATTTTCTTTTGACGGCACTCGATGCACTCATAACATGTATACATTGAATTTAGAGGATCTTATTGGTTTTTGCTCACGAGCTGAATATGTGTGTTTCTATGGGAGAGAAAGGCACGAAAAGACATCTCATCAAGAGAGATGTGAGGGAGCATGGAAAGGCACCGCAAAGAGCAAACTCAAGGGATCGCTATAAGCGCCTCTCAGAGTGTCCCCAACATCCCGCGGAAACTTTGAGAATTAAGACTTCTTAGGAATAATTTTGAGCTGCTTTAATGAAAAAATTAATTACATACAATTTCAAAGAAGACAGAAATGTCATGCGGTTATTTTGCAAAATACCCTCCGTGTTCTGAAAAGGCTTTAGTTCAGGCTTTTGATAATCTGAAAGTTCTAACCATCAAAATAGGATTCTACATCTAGGCTCTCTGTTTTTGCCTCTGTTTACAATACTACCGTGCTTAGGAAAAGCGCCGTATGAGCTTTCAAGCGTTGCCAAATTTCCTTTGATAAATCACATATTTTCAGGAAAATCTTTGAATCTCTGTTTCTCAATTTCTCAGATAATTTTGTTTGTAATTTGATCCCAAGTGTCCGAAAATTTGAAGGAAAAATATTCAAAATTCTTCTCAAAAATAAACATTTATCGAAGGAAATTTTGCAACTTTCGAATGTTCATACGGCGTTCTTGCTTCGCACGGTAGAATAACCGCCCAACTTAGCCATCCTCCATATTCTCTTGCCAGGGAAAAACGCCGTATAAACCTTCGAGCGTCGCCAAATTTCTTCTGATAAAATACTTTCTCGGTAAACTTATGAATATTTTTCGTCCAATTTTTCATATAATTTTTTTTGCGATTTCACCTAAAACTCTTGAAAATTTAATAGAAAAATATTCATAACTTTCCAAAAAAATAAACATTTTATCAAAGGGAATTTGGCAACTTTCGAATGTTCATAGGGCGTTCTTCCTCAGCACGGTAGAATAACCGTCCGACTCGGCCATCTTTTCTATTCTGTTTCAGCCCCACTCTCTTTTTCAGTGCCTTAAACAAAACCATAATCCGTTCGCCCCTTCTGATACCCCCCCCCCCCCNTGCTTCACTCTAAGAGTCAATCTCCTGCGAGAAAGTGCCCTCTGCTAAAATAATAAAACAGAGTTCGTCCGTGACCTGAGCGAGACAATGTTGGAGGGAGGGAGAGTTCCCACACGGATTTAGAGTCAAGTTGTTTTCTGAACGTGTCATCGCGGTGTGAATCTCTTTTTATCTCACTTAAATCCGCTGCCCCAGCGTAATATTTTACCTCTAAGACTTTGCTCTTGTGCAGCTCAAACAATATCTAGTTCGACTGTCTTGGAATTCCTTAGCTAAACATAGATAATTTTACGCATAAAGTTCCAGAAAATCGTATTCTTCCGTGTTAAGAAAAAGCGCCGTATGAGCCTTCCGAGTTGTAACAATTTTATCAATAAAAATCGAATTCACCAGGAAAATTTTGAGTGTATTTATTCTTTAAGATTTTCAGATAAATTATCTCGCAGTAGAATCTAAAGTTATGAATCATATATCAGGGAAAATTATGCATACTTTTCCTTAAAACTTGAAATTTTGTTGCGGTAGATTTGGCAATATATGATTACTCATACGACATTTTTTCTCAGCGGCAGTTTAGACATCTTATGCGAAAAGATTGTTGAAGAGGAAACAGTTTCAAATGAGAATCTGCATGGTACCACGTTGCCTCATTGTAATTCAGCGAGAAACGCCGCGACCACAAAAAACGCCTTCAATCAATCGAATAGGCACACTGAGCTCCTAGGAGGTCGTATAGTGGTATCACACCCAACAGCACAGTCTTTAATAATACTTGCGTATCATAAATCGTGCAGTTTTTGAGGTGATATTTTTGGCAGTTATACATTTAATTTGAACCAAGATAGTCCGCCCCCTTGCTGCTACGCCCCCCCCCTCCACCCATGCGCTTTCCAAAGAAGCGGCCAGCGAAATTGTCAAAATTGCCCGTTGGCGTTTAGTGAGTAAATAATTTTAATTGAATAACAAAACGATGCTTCAAAGAAAAATTTCAATGACTTCCTCCTTACTCTGAATTTTGATTCCTCCTTTGGATTTCGACCTTTAGACCTCCTTCCTCTCTCTGTTCATTTAGCGTCTTAAAAATTATTTTATTAATGGAGAGGATATTTTTTCTCGAGTGATCGAAGTATAAACATGAGTAATTTTCCGTACAGTTTGGAAAAAAGAATAGTTTTCCATGAAATGCGTAATTTCCTCGCGAAAATTCGGGAACTCGTATATTAGCTCTAATCACACACAGTGGCATCGCATTTCATGCCGTTCTAAGGAGGAACGCAGCATGAGTCTTCAGATGTTGCCAAATCTCCTATGACAAACCACACATGTTCATGGGCCGTTCAAGTATCACTTAACACATTTTTCCCGATTAGTTTACTCTCCTCCCCTGTGTAACGCACCCGTAACGCAATCCTATACACATCCCCCTTTTTTGAATTGCGCAACGCTGGCCTGACCCCCCCCCCTCCAATTTTCGAAAATATTCACTCGAGATGGGTGGGATTTTCAATATTTTGCACGTTTTTCTTTTACCCCCCCCCCCTTCGGCTCGCATTTATTACGTGACACTGGGCTTGACCCCTCCCCCATCCCCCTTGTAACGCACCGTACCGCTCGTTTAACACCCCTCCTCCCTACACTGAAAAAAACTTACGGGCTATAGAGAAATATCGTCCGCTTCGGGCTGAGAGGCCGAAATTTCCGGGTGCTGGAGCCGTAGCTTCGATTGCTTCGGGTGATACGTCCGGGACTTTGGGCCTCTGAGACCGGAACGCGGACAATATGTCTATACAGCGCGTAAGTAGGGCTCCGACAGGCGGGTTTTTTCAGTGTAAATGCATTACGTAATACTGCCGTGCTAAGGAAAAACGCCGTATGAGGCGTCAGACGCTGCCAAGTTTCCTTCAATAAAACCTGGAATAGTTTGGGCAATTCGTGAATATTTTTTCCAAAATTTTCAGACATAACTTTGTGCGTAATTCAATCTAAAATATCTAAAAATTTTAAGGACAAATGTGCTTGAATGTCGTCGAACATACATATTCTATGAGGAAAAATTTGGCAACTCTGGAATGTTCATACGGCTTTCTTCCTTAGCACGTAAGAGTACTTGAAAGGCCCGTGAGAAAAATGGTGAAGTATTTTTCTTGGGATTTTCTTGGTTGAATGAGGAAAATTGAATGTGTTTTGGTTGACAGAAAGACTCCTCTCTGGTGGTGGCCCGGTTTGACCTGAACAAGACCTGGTGGGACCTGGTGATCGCGGTGTGCGTCCCGGGGAGTCTCTTCGTCGTCTCGTTCATCTCGCTGGCGATCATCACGCACACGGTGCGCGTGGACGACGACGCGCGCATGCGCTGCAAGTGGTGCGAGCCGGACGACGGCGCCGACGACGAGCCCGAACTCGTCATGGACGGACTCATCAACCAGACCAACAACATCGCCGCCATGGACAAGCGGGTCAACGACCTCACGCCAAGGTGAAAATAAAACTCACCTTCCCCACCGTTGAGCTGCTATCCACTCATCCATCAAACCAACGATGGCGTTATATTTGGATGAAAATAAAACTGACGCCGCCCCCTCTTTTATTCTGCCGTGCTAAAGGCCTGGAAACAAGCTCAAATTTCCATCAATTTCCGATCAAAATGATGACGAAAATGGCGGTATGGTATATCACGGATGGTATATGGTACGCACCAGTCACCATTCGATCGGGAATTGATGGAAATTTGAGCGTGTATCCAGGCCATAAGGAAGAACGCTGTACGAGCTTTCAGACGTTGCCAAGTTTCCTTCGAAAAAAAAACCGAATCTTCTGGGAATATTGTGAATATTTTCCACATAATGTTCAGACAAATTTTTACGAAATTTAATCTAAAATATATCTGAAAATTGATTCAGAAAATGTGCATAAATGCCGTCAAAAATACACGTTTTATCAAGGAAAATTTGGCAACTCTCGAATGTTTATACGGTATTCTTCCTTAGCACGGCAATATTAACCTTCGATTAACAGCCGATCCGAGGACGTGGCATCTAGATAAAATAAAGCTAACATCGGCAAGATTTGAACAACGTCGACTCATCGTCTGAAAATGAAAATGACGTCACATCCATTTGAAGATGAAGCTCACACCGGTAAGGTTAAACCAACGTTATCTTATCGTCCGAAATTGAAGATGACGTCATATATCGACGTGAGGATGAAACCAACACCGTTAGGGTTTGAACCAACGACAACTCGACGTGCGAAACTTAAGATGAACTCGGATCAATCTGGAAATGGTTCATGGGCCAAGCCTTCCATGACGTCATACTCACGTACGGCTGACTGTGCAACTAGAGAAGACGCTCACGCTAGATATGCATTCCAGTTCATGGGCCAAACGTTCTTTTTCAAAAAAAAAAAAAAAATTGGAATTAAGATGTTATCGATGAGCTATATGGGTGCTGCGATGGCAAAATCCTTGATGAAATTCGACGGAACTCGATCCTTGAGTACGTATCACAAAAAATTGCGAGGAGAATGAGAAAACAATTATTTAAAATATATCTAATGTTGAGTTTCCACTATAATGACTACCCTCATTTCAAATATAATTACTATTAAATATATTTAAAATTAGGGTAGTCATTAGGGAGGAGGTAACGGATACGCGAAACGTGTGGGAATGGAGTGGCTTAGTGATAACGGCATGTTCGGGTGGGGCCGATGAGAAATAATGAAACGAAGAGTTTTTCATCCGGAAGTGGCTGCAATGCATTAATGACGTCATTACACACGCGAGAACTCATACATATTGATCAGCTCATGCGGTCAATGACGTCATTCCAAGGTTACGCGACGCAGAATCCTTGACCGGACCTACGTCTATGTCAGCACAGCAATGGACACACAGGTGTGCGTATGACGTCATATGTTCACGAGACCGACGTAGACGCCGTACAATCCGTGACGTAATAAGAGGCTCAACACCTTCTCCGCGTCATCCGTCATCCAAAGTTGACAGATGATTTACGACAACGAGATAGACACAACAAAGATGTGTCAAATCAATATTTCCTAATCAATAAACATTGATCCAAGGAAATATTGATTTGAAATTTGAAATTAATGAACGAGCAAGGCCTATGCAATTTGACGGATATTACATCGATTGCATGCATGCTTTTTTTTTTGTTATTACTGTTTTACAATCATAATAAATAATTCTGTACCATACTCTTCTTAATAGCCTCTTCACAAGACTTTTACTCTCCAAATGAATTAGAATGTAAAAAGAAATCTGACAGATTTATACAAAACTAAAGCGTTCTAAATATGTACATGCATGCACTATTAATTTTTGGAGGTCAATCGTTTTACCTCTCTCATTAATTAAGATACGCACAGATTTTTGCACATTTTTTTTTTTTTTGCCGCACTCTCCACATGTTTAACTCACTTGTACCTTTTTCAACCTAAAAGTCTGTAACTCCCAACGTTGATATATTTTTACTCTGTACATACTCAAACGAAACGAAGCTGATTTTTCTCGTTATCTATTTCTTAATTTTATTAAGTATTGCAACCAATCTTTTTGTCTCTTGGAAATATAAAACAAATTTTACTTTAATTTTTAACCAGTAGTTTTGAATCAAACTTTCAAACTTGAGTTCCACGCCTTCAAAGCTTATGGATAAGACGTTTTGAAAAATATTCCTATGTTTTGATCCTCCACCTCCCACTTTCCAGTGGCGTGACGTGCTTTGCAATAGATCGATTGATCGTCCATTTAAACCTATGGAAAAGGATCAATAAACTGGGTGTTCGCAGCGAACACCTTAATAATCGATTCCTTACCATAATTACAAATGAGGAAATATCGATAATCGATCATTCACGCCACGCCACAGTTTCTATAAGGGCGTTGTCATAGACCTCTAAAGCATTTTTTGCACAACTCTCTGACAACTTTAGACCCTCGTAACGCTCCAATAACCACCACCAGATTTTCCCCATAACTACACATATTTACAAATCTACGGGTGAAATATCAAATTCTCTTTCCATTGTTTCAATAGGCTGCTGGCTGATTTAGTGGTTATGTCATTGGTGTCACACACCGCCGCGCCGCACAGTGCGGCCCTCTGTGGACAAAAATAAAACAAGCTGCTGGTTCCAGCACTACTGTGTTGGAGAGCTCGCCTTTGTGAAACTATTAACAACTATTAATGATTTTTTCTGAAATTTCATATGTATTACATGAATTTTTACCCAGTTATTTGAGGTTGCATGCCGATGCAAAATGTTATGATGTATTTTCATAAGACAAATTTTTCGCATTGCAATAAATAAAGAGAAAGAAAGAGAGAGAAATGGAATTATCTTTTATGAATGTGATTTTGCGGCAAATGTTGCAATGGCTATTTTTGCCATCGCATTTTTGTTTCTGGCTTCCATCGTCGATAAGCTTCCACTTAACTTGTCAACAATGTAATGAAATCATATGATTTAATTTTAATTTTTTTTTTTAAATCAAGTCGCCAACTTGAATTAAGGTTATACTTTGTTAAGTTGGCAGTCTGAAATTCTGAATTGTTATCGGCACAGAGTTCAAAGAAACTATAATTGGGCACGGTTCGGTGGACCGTTTCTGCCATAATTCTTACACAATACTTATGGTATACATTAAGAGCTGAAAAGAAATTCACTTGAATTTTAGCGTGGACCGTGGAGCTCGAAAGACCACTTCAAGCCTTTGTATGCGAGTGGCTCAATGGAGCACATCACGCCTTTGTAGGTATGCGGTGGCTCAATGGAACACCTCACGCACTATAAATAGCACGGAGCTCGAAAGAGCCCTTCATGCATCTGTATTTTGAGGTTAAAACGAACTCTAAAGAAACTCAATGCGAGGCTCAAACGAACTCTCGACCATTCTTAATGCGAGGCTCAAACGAACTCTCAAGCATTCTTAATGCGAGAGGCTCAAACGAATCCTAAAGCATTCTTAATATGAGGTTTAAACAAACTCTGAAAGGATCCCAATGCGAGTCTCAAACGAGCTCTCGAGCATGCAATTATTTTGAGGTTAATTAACCTCTTATGGTACCAATGAAGGCAATCTCAAGGATTATCCATTAATTATGCGCAAATCTCAATCTTAGTCTTAGTAACTTAAAATTAATTGAAGAATTTATTAAATCACGTCGAGGTCACCATGTTTTTTACTTTAAGAAATAATAACAATTGCAAGTAGAACTGCACAAAAAAACTGCATTGAGAAGATAAGAGGATGATAACATAGGACAGATCGCCTCATGGAGGACTTAGGGCCCAAAAGTTCCAGCCACCCTTCTAATCAACTTCTTACGCACAAAATTTCACTGCCAGTCTGCAGATTCCAATTCTAACCGAGATGACCAAGAATGTACAGAAATGAGCGTTCTTCCGCGAATTTGAGTAAATTTATACAAAAACTGAGTCAAACGCGTGCTTGATAAACGACGTTTCGTAACAATAGTATTAGTAAATCGCTCTGGATAATTAAAATGCAGAGGTTGGCTGCATTTCTGGGCCCTAACTTTATTCGCGGAAGCATCGGTGAAGGCCTGATGGATTTTCGGAGTTTCACATCTGTCCATACTCTCGCTATACAGGTACTCTAATAACATACAATTAGGTTATTTGCATTTGCTATGAAACCATAGCAACATGCTATGATATGCTCGGCCACCGGAAAGTGCTGCTCCCTAGTGTAGCAAGCGAGGAACAATTAGTCCTCAGTTGAATGAGGGAACGGAAATGTTCGACGGAGGAAAACTGTAACCCGCGAAAATTCAACTTTTAGACGTTGAAATCAATGGGATTTGGCCGTTCCTCCGACGGCAACGAGAACCATCCATTTGTCGCCACGAACACTACCAATGCTAAAAGAAATCGATCGCAAAGAGCTCTCCCGAGTGGGCGAACTCAAAATTCACAACTCAACATCTGAATATTTTTTTTTCTTGGAGTTTATCATCTTAAAGGCATTTCTGACTCACGATGATGGTTCATTTCCAAATTTTTCGCTCCAAACTACTTCAAATTTGGCTAGAAAGTGGGCGGAAATGGGTCGAGAATCACTGGTCCATAAGGAATGCACGTGAAAAAGACGTCAACTTCAAATGAAGATCTCTAGCTTGAAACGTAAAATGCTCTGGGTTGTTGACATTTTCTTAATCCTCAGGTATCCAACTTCAATCCAACCAAAAATATCTTACCACTTCTCGCGACTATCAGAGATATTTGAAGTTAAAGTTTGGGTGTATCACAATGCTTTTACATTGTAAACTTAGGGCTAATTCGAGGTTGTCAACTTCAAATTAACTTTTCTCGAAAAATACGCAAAAAAACCTGAGATATAACATTTTCTTATTCCTCCAGTATTTTACTTTGATAGCACCAAAGGGTTTTCCTATTTCGGTGCTACTACCTCCTTTATTTGAAGTTAAGTATCTTTTACCGATTTGTGTCCGCATCGTCTAAAAGGATGCCGCACTGTGCGCCGTCAAGTCCTTCCAGTCTTATGA